AAATAAAAACAAGAAGAATGTCATGTGACAATGGAAGCCGAGAGGGATGTACCTGCAAGCCAATGACACCAAGGCCTGCCAGCAGCTGCAGAAGCCAGGAGAGAGGCCCAGAGAGCTTCTCCTCTGCAAGGAACTAACTGTGCTGACACCTGGATTTCAGACTTCAAGCCTCCAGAACTGTGAGAGAGTAAATTTCTGTTGTTTTAAGCCACCCAGTTTTGTGGTGATTTTTTACAGCAGCCCCGGGAAGCTAGACCCTAGTTTCTAGTAAGGTTGGACATGTTTTCTTATTGGTCATGTTCTCTGAAATGACCATCCATCTTTCCCCTCCACTCCCCTCCCCTCCTCTCTTCTCTTCTTTTTTGAGTCTGGGTCTCACTATGTTGCCCAGGCTGGTTTCGAACTCTTGGACTCAAGTGATCCTCCTGCCTGGACCTCCTAATATGCTGGGATTACAGGTGTAAGCTACAATGCCCAGCCAAAATGATCATTTTTTTCAATGTATAAAAACTTCATCTTGGCCGGGCGCAGTGATTCACGCCTGTAATCCTAGCACTTTGGGAGGCTGAGGTGGGTGGATCACCTGAGGTCAGGAGTTCAAGACCAGCCTGGCCATCATAGTGAAACCCCATGTTTGTAAAAAAGAAAAAAAAGAAAAACTTCATCTCATCATATGAGAGTTATCAATGCATTTATGGATCCCTGTCCCCTGTGCATAATTCTATTTTATTTATTTATTATTTTTAGAGAAAGAGTCTCCCTCGGTCACCCAGGCTAGAAATACAATTGCACAGTCATAGCTCACTGCAGCCTCAAACTCCTTGGCTCAAGCAATCCTCCCACAGTTGCATAATTCTACAGCTTTCCAGGGTTCTGCTGCCCATTGGTTAGGAATCCTGACCTATGGGATTAAATTTCAACCCTTTGTCGTGGACCTGAAGTTTCTTCAAGATCTCCCTTTGCCCATCTCTTCAACCTAATTTCTCTCCACTGTCCCCATAAATATCCATGCTTCCATAATAAACTTCTTCCTTCTGGAACAGCCATTCTCTCACCTCCGGGCTTTGTCCTTGCTTTTCCCTTTTCCCGGAATGACACCTGCCATTTCCCTTCCTCTTTTCTTTCCTCTCTGTTCTACTACAATTCACACCGTCCTGGAAGACTCAGCTCAAGTCTTACTTCTCCTAAGAGCCTGCTCTGGTGGTGTTCTGTCCTTCTCCCAAGCTGAGTTGGGTACTCCTCCTTCTTTCTGTTCCCTTAGCAGTCCGAGCATCTCTGAGTGTACCTCTTTTTTTTTCCCCACCCCTGAGTGTACCTCTTATTTGGTTTTTTTTTAAAGACTGAGTCTTGCTCTATTGCCCAGGCTGGAGTGCAGTGGCATGATCTTGACTTACTGCAACCTCTGCCTCCTGGGTTCAAGTGGTTCTCATGCCTCAGCCTCCCAAGTAGCTGGACTACAAGCAGGCACCACCA